AAAAAAAAAAAAAAATTTTTAAAATTAGCCAGGCATGGTGTCACACGCCTATAGTCCCAGCTACTCAGGAGGCTGAGGCACGAGAATTGCTTGAACCCAGGAGGTGGAAGTTGCAGTGAGTTGAGATCATGCCACTACACTCCAGCCTGGGCAACAGAGTGAGACTTGGTCTCAAAAAAAAAAAAATTAGTCAGGTACAGTGGCCCATGCTCATAGTTCCAGCTACTCAGAAGGATGAGTGAGAGGATCACTTGAGCCCAGGAGGTCAAGGCTGCAATGAGCTGTGATTGCACCACTGCACTCCAGCCTGGGCAACAAAGCAAGATCCTGTCTCAAAAAAAAAAAAAAAAAAGTGTTCACCCCAGCACCTGTACTTTCATTATATCCCATCCACGGTTTAGTTTTTTTGTCTAGAACTCACTCATGTACACCATCATCTAGTTCATTTCTGAGGTGCCTCTCCCCAGTAGAATGTCAGCTCCCAAGGCCTGAGATTTCCATCGGTTTTGTTCAATGCTATGTCTTTAGGACCTAGCATCCCAGAGCCTGGGATCCCAGAGGTGCTCAATAAATGGGGGTTCAGTGAATTCATTAATTACATTTCTGCAAGATGGGGTGGCATGATGTCATCATCAGTCATGTTTCTTTCTTCATAAAAATTGCATGATATTTGGAACAGGCACGATGGTGACATCTGTCATCCCCACTACTTGAGAGGCTGAGGCTAGAGGATTCCTTGAGCCCAGGAATTCAAGGCTAAAGTGTGCTATGATCACACCTGTGAATAGGCACTGCACTCCAGCCTGGGCACCACAGTGAGACCTCTCTCTTTAAATGTAAAAAAAAGTCTGGGTGCGGTGGCTTGTGCCTGTAATCCCAGCACTTTGGGGAGGCTGAGGCGGGTGGATCACCTGAAGTCAGGAGTTCAAGACCAGCCTGGCCAACATGGAGAAACCCTGTCTCTACTAAAAATACAAAAAAAAATAAAAATAAAAATAAATTAGCTGGGTGTGGTGGTGCACGCTTGTAAACCCAGCTACTTGGGAGGCTGAGGCAGGAGAATCACTTGAACCCAGGAGGCAGAGGTTGCAGTGAGCCAAGATCATACCATTGCACTCCACCCTGGGTGACAGAATGAAACTCTGTCTCAAAAAAAAAAAAAAAAAAGATTTGATGGAGCTGTCTCCAAAATTAAGAAGAGGATAGAAGAAGCTGACCCAGACACTCAAGCAGGGCTAATTATTCCCATTTTACAGATGTGGAAGACTGAGGCCTGTTGCAAGTGCAGAGCTCAGCCCTTGAACCCTCTGTCCCCAAGAGCTCCATGCAGGTGCCACAGGATGGAGAAGACCTTGCTGGCCAACCCTGGTACCACGGCCTCCTGTCCCGCCAGGTACCACCCACAGCAAGGCCTCGGCACCATCTGGTGGGGAGTCTCTCCCATCTTTGCTGAGGACTCCTGGGTCCCTGGATGAGGGACTTAGTGCCAAGGTCTATTGGGACAGATGGCAGAGGGCTGGGGACTGTCTTGAAGGTTGGCTGGTTGGGGGACTGTCACTATATTTAAATTATCACTTTCTTTGGGATGATGAGATTGGTGATGAAGCTTAAGGAGAGTCCTAATGCCCCCCAAACCACTCTTGGCTCAGGCTGTCTCTCCCTCTGAACTCCATCTACCTCCTGGTATTTCCCTCTAAATCTGAGGCTCCTGAGCCAGGCACGGTGGCTCACGCCTGTAATCCTAACACTTTGAGAGGCTGAGGCAGGTGGATCACTTGAAGTCAGGAGTTCAAGACCAGCCTGGACAACATGGTGAAACCACATCTCCACTAAAAATACAAAAATTAGCCGGACGTGGTGGTATGCGCCTGTAGTCCCAGCTACTTGGGAGGCTGAGGCAGGAGAATCTCTTGAACCCAGGAGGCAGAGGTTGTAGTGAGCCAAAATTGTGCCACTGCACTCCAGACTGGGTGACAGAGTGAGACTCTGTCAAAAACATAAATAAACAAACAAATAAATCTGAGGCTCCCACCTCCATCTGAAACTCAGTTGTCACCCCCAAAAATTCTGGGACCCTGAGCATCTAATGAAATCATGAGAGGCAGTGTAGCTTAATAGTTAAAAGCCCGGGCCGGGCACGGTGGCTCAAGCCTGTAATCCCAGCACTTTGGGAGGCTGAGACGGGCGGATCACGAGGTCAGGAGATCGAGACCATCCTGGCTAACACGGTGAAACCCCGTCTCTACTAAAAATAAAAAAAATTAGCCGGGCATGGTGGCGGGCGCCTGTAGTCCCAGCTGCTCGGGAGGCTGAGGCAGGAGAATTGGTGTGAACCCGGGAGGCGGAGCTTGCAGTGAGCCGAGATCTGGCCACTGCACTCCAGCCCGGGCCACAGACAGAGACTCCATCAAAAAAAAAAAAAAAAAAAGTTAAAAGCCCATAATCTAGACCCAGACACCCTAGGTTCAAATCCAAACCCTACAACTTACATTGTGTGTGACCTTGGGCAGGGTATTTGACCTCTCTGGGCCTCAGTCTTCCCATCTTTAACATAGGGATAGCAGGCCAGGCATGTTGGCTCATGCCTGTAATCCCAGCACTTTGGGAGGCTGAGGCAGGAGGATCACTTGAGGTTAGGAGTCCCAAACCAGTCTGGGCAACATAGCAGAACTCTGTCTCTACAAAAAAAAAGAAAAAATACAAAAATTAGCCAGGCATAGGTGGCATGTAACTGTTGTCCCAACTACTCAGGAGGCTGAGATGGGAGGATTGCTTAAGCCCAGGAGGTCAAGGCTGTGAGTAAGCCATGATTGCTCCCCTGCACTCAGCCTGGGCAATCGAGAGAGACCTTGACTCAAAAAAAAAAAAAGGCTGGAAAAAAAAATGGGCCAGGCACGGTCACTCGTGCCTGTAATCCCAGCACTTTGGGAGGCCGAGGCAGGTGGATCACCTGAGGTCAGCAGTTCGAGACCAGCCTGACCAATATTATGAAACCCCATCTCTACTAAAAATACAAAAAATTAGCCGGGCATGGTGGCACGTGCCTGTAATCCCAGCTACTCGGGAGGCTGAGACAGGAGAATCGCTTGAACCTGGGAGGCGGAGGTTGCAGTGAGCCGAGATCGTGCCATTGCACTCCAGCCTGGGCACCAAGAGTAAAACTCCGTCTCAAAGAAAAAAAAAGAAAAAAGGTATAATAATACCTACCACCCTTGTTACAGGAATTACAGGAGTTAATACCCTTTACATTTAAAGCAGTGCTTGACATATAGTAAGGGTTCCACGTGTGTCTGCTACATCTATTACTCAGTGCCCAGACTCCACATTCACCTCTACTTTGCCTCTCTCTGGGGTCCTGGCCTTTCTGCCTGCTGCCCCACACCATTTTTTTTTTTTTGGGGGGGGACATGATCTCGCTCTGTCACCCATGCTGGAATGCAATGGCTCCATCTCGGTTCACTGCAACCTCTGCCTCCTGGGTTCAAGCAATTCTCCCACCTCAGCCTCCTGAGTAGCTGGAATGACAGGTGCACACCACCACGCCCAGCTAATTTTTATATTTTTTGGTAAAGACAGGGTTTTGCCATGTTGCCCAGGCTGGTCTCAAACTCCTGATGTCAAGTAATCTGCCTGCCTCAGCCTCCCAAAGTGCTGGCATTACAGGTGTGAACCACTGTGCCCCACCCTTCCTACCCTATTCTGACACCAGCCACCACAGCTAGCATAAGACTGCTTGCAAATGTTTATAAAAGAGGGGGCCCCAATCTGGAAGCATCCAGCTAATGGCGTCTCTTGAAGCCATATTTGCATAACAAGCCCAGTGCATTTACCAAATTGGATGTTGCATCGGTCAGCATCACTTAGTGGCTAGTTACAAACATTCCCAATATATCACCAGCTAAACACAGTCAATATGTTAATGTCATAGTCCAAGGTGGTTGAGAAGTGGAGATGCAAAGCTCCATAAATCAGTCGGGAGCCAAGTGTATCATGTAGTTCTGTCATCCCTCAGGGCTTTGGGGATATCAGCTGACAGATAGGGGACAGAACCTACAAGACTGTGCAGGAGGGTTTTATGGACCAGGTCTGGATATTTCTCATAGCCCTTCTACCCCACATTCCCTTGGCCAGTTATCACATGACAACCCTAGCTGCAAGGGAGCCTGGGAAATGTAGTCTACATAGGTGCCAGCAGAATAGGGGACAGAACTTGGTGTGAAACTTCCCAGTCTTTGTCTGCCACAGAAGTTTCACTGGGGTAGCTTTTCTTGGGTAGTGGGGGTGATGATGGGGGGAGACACCATTAACCACTGCTCTGGGCTCATTCTTAATTCCTCTGCCCCCTGACCTCCATCCACAGAAGGCTGAAGCTCTTCTTCAGCAAGATGGCGACTTCCTGGTTCGTGCCTCTGGGTCTCGTGGGGGCCACCCCGTGATCTCCTGCCGCTGGCGGGGCTCAGCCCTCCATTTCGAGGTGTTCCGTGTGGCCCTGCGTCCCCGGCCAGGCCGACCCACAGCTCTCTTTCAACTGGAGGATGAGCAGTTCCCCAGCATGCCCGCTCTGGTTCACAGTTACGTGACAGGCAGGCGCCCACTGTCCCAGGCCACAGGGGCTGTGGTCTCCAGGCCTGTGACTTGGCAGAAGCCTCTGCGACGCAGCTTTAGCGAGGACACCCTGATGGATGGCCCAGCTCGGACACAGCCTCTCAGGTACTCACAGTCTCCCTGCCTCCTTAAGAACACCCAGCACTCTCAGGGTTTTCCAACTCAATGGTTGACTTTCTTTTTTTTTTTTTTTAGACTGAGTCTCACTCTGTTGCCCAGGCTGGAGTGCAGTGGTGTGATCTCAGCTCACTGCAACCTCCACCTCTCAGGTTCAAGCAATTCTCCTGCCTCAGCCTCCCAAGTAGCTGGGATTACAGGAGTGCACCACCACGCCCAGCTAATTTTTTTATTTTTTTATTTTTTATTTCTTTCTTCAGTCTAAGTCTCACTCTGTTGCCCAGGCTGGAGTGCAATGGCACAATCTCAGCTCACTGCAACCTCCGCCTCCCGGGTTTAAGCGATTCTCCTGTCTCAGCTTCCCGAGTAGCTGGGATTACGGGGGTGCACCACCATGCCTGGCTAATTTTTTATATTTTTAGTAGAGACAGGGTTTCACCATGTTGGCCAGGCTGGTCTCAAACTCCTGACCTCAAGTGATCCACCTGCCTCGGCCTCCCAAAGTGCTGGGATTACAGGCATGAGCCACCACGCCAGGCTAATATTTTGTATTTTGGCCAGGCTGGTCTCAAACTCCCGACCTCAAGTGATCCACCCGCCTCGGCCTCCCATAGTGCTGGGATTACAGGTGTGAGCCACCGCGCCTGGCCTTGGTTGAGTTTTAGGCCCGAACATTTTTAGTTGTGGGGAAGGAGGTGGAGATGTCGTGTGCATCGTAGGATGTTGAGCAGAATTTCTGAGCTCCATCCAACTAGATGCTACTAGTCGTGACAACTAAAGATGTCTCCACACGTTGCTAAGAGTCCCCTGGACGCAGGTCACCTTGGGTGGTTGAGACTCACTGGTACAGAGTAACTGGACACAGGGTTTTCCAGATATTGGTGAGGGACACTCTGCTTAGGTGGGGACTACAGGTCTCTCCCACTCTGTCCCCCAGGGCAAGGAAGTGGAGCAACAGTCAGCCTGCAGATTTGGCACATATGGGACAGTCAAGAGAAGACCCCACTGGGATAGGTGAGTGTCTACCAGAATGGCCTGTGGTTCAGGGATTGGCTTTGCAACTCACCACCTAAGAGATCTTAGTCAGGTGCAGGAACCTGTTGGAGCCTCAATTTCTTGCTTTAGAAAATGATGACAATCGCGATGACTTGAAACACTCAGGGACTTTGTGGGTGCTTAAAATGTGTGTTTACAAGGCTGAGCGCAGGGACTCATGCCTGTAATCCCAGCACTTTGGGAGGCCAAGGCTGGTGGATCATTTGAGGTCAGGAGTTCGAGACTGGCCTGGCCAACATGGTGAAACCCCATCTCCAGTAAAAACACAAAATTAGCCGAGCATGGTGGCATGCACCTGTAATCCCAGCTACTTGGGAGGCTGCAGCAGGAGAATCGCTTGAACCCGGGAGGCGAAGGTTGCAGTGAGCCGAGATGACGCCACAGCACTCCAGCCTGGGTGACAGAACAAAACTCCATCTCAAGAAAAAAAAAAAAAAAAATGTGTGTTTACAATTATTCCAAGGAGCTGTACCTGTTCTGACCACAGCTTACCTTGCTAACAACTTCTGCTACATACCCTCCTCATGCTAGTCACACAGCCCTCCTTGCAGTTGTTCGAACCCTCAGGCTTTTATTCCTGCCTTGGGGCCTTTGTACTTTACATTTCCACCAGTGACACAAACATTCTCATTCCCCTAATTTTTTCCTGAATGGCTCCTCTCCATCCAGGGTAAGTTCCTCAAAGCAGTTGAGTCTGACAGTCTTACCTAAAGGAGGACTCACCTGAATGCCCCCTCATGCTCCTTTTTTCCCATCCTTCTCCCAACCCCATTCCACATGAGCCCTTCCTGCATCCCAGGCCCTGCACAGAGTGCTAGAATACATCAGTGAACCAGAAAGAGACAAAGATCCCTGCCCGGTGGGAGCCAACAGTCTATGAAAGGACAACAAACCATGAACCACAGAAATAAGGCAATTTTGTTTGCTTCAAGTTGAAAATTAAAACACAGTAAGCGCGAGAAGGCCACCGGCACAAGTTGGCATCAGGCCCTGCGGTACATCCCCCAGCCACCTTGGGGAAAGACCCGAGGTGGGCGGTCGGAATCACCTGAAGTCAGGAGTTCTCTGCCGACGACCCCCAGCCGCTGGCAACATGGAGAAACCCTGTCCTCTACCTAAAAATCTGATTAGCACAAAACTTAGCGCGGCGCGCGTGGTTTGGTGGCACCTGGTAATCCCAGCTAGTCGGGGAGGCTGAGGCCACGAGAATGGCTTGAACCAGCGAGGCGAGGTATCCAAATGAAGCCAAGATCACGCCCATTAGCAACTCCAGCCTGGACAACAGAGTGGAGACTCCTGTCTCAACAAATAAAATAATAAATAGATAAATAATAAAACCGGTGGAGTGGCTCAGGTCTGTAATCCCTATGCCTTTGGGAAGGCCGACGTTGGGCCGGATCACTTTGAGTCAGCGAGTTCGAGACCCAGCCTCGCCAACATGGTGGAAAAAACCGCATCTCTACTAAAAAAAACAAAAAAATTAGCCAGGTGTCGGTGGCATACAGCCCCTGTAATCCAGCCCTACTTTCAGGAAAGGCCTGAGGCAAGGAGATTGCGTTTGAACTGGAGGTGGATTCAGTGACCCGAGATGGCGGCCCCACTTCCGCACGTCCCCGCCTCGCCGAACAAGAGTGAAGAGAGACTCTGTCTCAAAAAAACAAAGGAAAACAAACAACACAACAAAAAACAGAGTAGCGAGAATAGCGGAACTATAAAGCACCTGAGTATGTGTATCGTAATTCTTATTTTATATTTGTTGTCTGTTTTTTTTATTGTTTATTATTTTTGTAGAAGAAGTTTTGCCATCTTGTTGCCCAGCGCCTGGAGTGCCAATGCGCCATATTGACCTTCACGCAACCCCTCACCCTCCTGGTCCTTTCCAAAACCCGATTTTCCTGCCTCGCCTCGTCCTGATAGCTGGAATACAGGCAATGTGCCACCAGTGCCCCGTGCTAATTTGTATTTTAGTAGAGACTGGGGTTTCACCATGTTGGTCAGGTCTAGTCTCAACTCCTGAACTTGGAATCCACCCGCCTCGAACTCCCAAATGCTGGATTACCAGGCTGAAGCCATGGCCCCAGGCAAGCAATTTTAAATTAGTAAGACCAGGAAAGGCCCCATCTGCAGAAAAAAATAAAATTGAAGGAAATGAGGGAGGGAACACAAGGTCGGATAACTGGAATAACCAGGCAGGAAGTATAGAGCACGTGCAAAAGGCTCTCGGGCCAGCAACAAGACATTCTAAGCTTGTTAGGCCCGAGCGCAGGGCTCCGCTCTATACCACCCCGCCACTTTGGGAGGCCCCCAGGCGGGGCAGATCACGAGGCTCAGAAGAAACCTCCCCTGACTAACACCGTGGAAACCCTCGTCTCTAACTAAAACTTCAGAAAACTACGCCCGGCGCGAGGTGCGCGCCTGTATCCACGCTTATCCAGGAGGCTGGGCAGGAGCATGCGGTGTGAACCCGGAGGAGGCGGAGCTTGCAAGTGGACCGAGATCGCGCCACTGGCACTCCAGCCTGGGGCGATCCAGAAGTGAGACTCCGTCTCAAAATTAAAAAAATAAAAAAAATTTAAGCTTCGTTCATCACTCAATCCAAAATAAGTGGGTAACAGCTTGGGCGTAACCGTGGCCCCTGCGGTCGGTCCTAGCTTACTGGAAGCGTGAAGCAGGAGGTACCTTGAGCCAGAATCAAGAGCTGGCAGTGGAGCCGTGATGCACCATTGCAGCTCCAGCCTGGGCCACAGAGGAGAACCCTGTCTCAAATTTTTAAAAGAAGCACGAAAAGAAAAGGGGGGCCAGGTACGGTGCTCATGCCCTGTAATGCCAGCATTTGGGAAGGCGAGGCAGGCGGATCACGGAGTTCGAGATCAAGACTATCCGGTCCAATCATCGTGCAAACCCCATCTCTACAAAAAAGACCAAAAAAATTAGCTGAGTTGGTGGCTGCGTGCCTGTAGTCCTAGCTACCAGGCGAGCTGAAAGCAGGAAATCACTTCCAACCTGGGAGAGGCAGAGGTTGCCTATAACGCTGAGATGGGCCCACTGCCTCCAGCCTGGTGACAGAGACTCCGTCCAGAAACGAAAAGAAAGGAAAGAAAAGGAAAAGTGAAGGGAGCGGAGGTGAGGCGGAAGGAGGACAGCTGACGTGTAGCTGAAGCAGAGGGAACTGAGGGGAGAAGTCAGAGAGAGAAACCCTGGACTACAGATTGTGAACGGATTTGTGCTCAGCTACAGTCGACACTTTGGACCGTCTTATTAACTCAGAGTGAGCCAGCGCACCCTGTTGGATGGCTCCTTTTTCAACGTTCCTAGAAAAAAGCCCTACTCTAAAGGCATCGGTAAAACCAGTCCTCCAAAAGTCTTAGTACAGTTTTAAGTACTAATAGTCCAGGAGGTCAACATGCCACCAACTTACAAATGACATCATTTAAAAGTTTAGGATGAGGGGAGGGGACTGAGAGGAGGGATCCAGTAGGTGCAGCAAAAACCACCATGGCACACGGATACTCGTGTAACCAACCTGCACATTCTGCACGTGTATCCTGTTTTTTGTTGTTGTTGCTTTGTTTGTTTGTTTGTTTAGAAGAAATAAAAAAGAAAAAAAGAAAAAGAAAGTTTAATAAGCTTGGTTTCTTTGATACTTATCTGAGTGTCATACCATACATGGTTTGGTTGTGAATTTTTTATACTTTCTGCCTCTCTATAGATATCTGTATTAATTATATATATTTATATAGATATATCTATGGAGAGATATCATATATATATTATCATAAAAAAGAGAAAAGTAAAATATCTATCATATATAAATGTAATTATATATAATATATAGGGCAATATTATATATTTAATGTTAATTTTAAGATATACTTAAGTATATATTATATAGTTATATAATATATAGATATCTATCTGTATAGATATGACATAGAGAGATATATCTATACTTAATTATAGATACATAGATATCTTTTTTTTTTTCGAGATAGAGTCTCACTCTGTCATCCAAGCTGGAGTGCAGTGGTGCAGTCATACCTCACTGCAGCCTCTGGCTCAAGTGATCCTCCCACCTCAGCCTCCCAAGTAGCTGGGACCACAGGTGCATGCCATCATACCAGCTAATTTTCTAACTTTTTGTAGAGACAAGATCTTGTTATGTTGCCCAGACTGGTCTGGAATCCCTAGCCTCAAGCGATCCTCTCACCTTGACTCCTCCCAAAATGCTGAGATTACAGGCATCAACCACCACCTTCATCCTTTTTTTTGAAAAAAAATTTTAATTTCGTGGGGTCACTGCTTACCATCTTTCAGTCAGAGAGGCAAAAACAAAGAATTCAAATTTAAAATGTAGTATTCAGAATTCATAGGGTCAGGCAAGGTGGCTCATGCCTGTGATCCCAGCACTTTGGGAGGCCAAGGAGGGAGGCTTGCTTGAGACTAGGAATTCCACACCAGTCCACCAGTCTGGGCAACACAGTGAGATCCCATCTCTATAAAATAAAATAAAAATTTTTTAAAAAGAATTTACAGAACGATAGAGATGCCAAAGTTTTCCAACCATGTGTAAGCATGTTAGCATTTCTACTGTTGAGGTTGTTGAAATTCAAAACTGCCCCTGGATAGGTTGGGATACCCCATTATTGGAATGAGTGGATGGATCAGGTGGGTAGTAGCCCATGAAGCTCTCACCCCCGCCCATTCAGCAGTCTTCTCTGTGTATTCCCATTGACCCCTCTTGTATGATCTCCAGAAGCCTTCGCCATGCCCGTATCTGCCTTGCCCCGAACGGGCAGTGACCCCGTGTTGCTGAAGGCCCCTGCTCCCCTGGGAACTGTTGCCAACAGTCTCAGAGCCTCCGATGGGCAGCTTCAAGCCAAGGCACCAGCGAAGCCTCCCCGGACACCCTCCTTCGAACTTCCTGATGCCTCTGAACGTCCCGCAACGTACTGCGAGCTGGTGCCCCGAGTACCCTGTGTCCAGGGAACATCCCTGAGCCAAAGCTGCCCAGAGCCAGAGGCCCCGTGGTGGGAGGCTGAGGAGGATGAGGAGGAAGAGAACAGATGTTTTACAAGACCACAGGCTGAGATCTCTTTCTGCCCCCCTGATACCCCCTCCTGCCTCCTGGGCCCCCAGAATCGGCCCCTGGAACCCCAAGTCCTGCATACTCTCCGTGGCCTGTTCCTGGAGCACCATCCTGGGAGCACTGCCCTTCACCTGCTATTGGTAGACTGCCAGGTGGGTCACCTGCTGAGATGCTCCTCTCCAGGCCCAGGGCAAGACCCCACCATACCTACATAATCACACTTCACCTGACTTCCCCATTCCCTTCCGCAGGCCACAGGCCTCCTGGGAGTGACCAGGGATCAGCGGGACAACATGGGGGTCTCATCTGGCCTGGAGCTGCTCACTCTTCCCCATGGATGTCGCTTGAGGTTGGAACTGCTGGAGAGGTGAGCCAGCCGCTTGGAATCGTGGCTGAGGAAGGCCAACTCCCCCCGACTTCCGAAAGTCTCCAAACAGCTCCCCACTCATGGTTCCCCAGGGAAGAAGGGAGATGGGGCAATGCCACATCCTGTCCCCCCTCACCCCTGCATTACAAACCTCCCCACTGCCCCCAGACCCTTGCCCTCCGCTTCTGCAGGCATGAGACACTGGCGCTGGCCGGGGCACTGGCAGTGCTGGGCTGCTCGGGGCCGCTGGAGGAGCGCGCAGCCGCACTGAGGGGCCTGGTAGAGCTGGCGCTGGCGCTGCGGCCAGGGGCAGCGGGGGACCTGCCCGGGCTGGCTGCGGTCATGGGCGCCCTGCTCATGCCCCAGGTTCGTGGGGAGCAGGGAGTGGAGGAAGCTGGAGTGCGGGTGACTGGGAAGACAGGAGAGGAGGCATGCGCAGGTCTCTTCTCCCAGGTGTCCCGGTTGGAGCACACGTGGCGCCAGCTCCGAAGGAGCCACACGGAGGCTGCGCTGGCCTTTGAGCAGGAGCTGAAGCCGCTGATGCGGGCTCTGGATGAGGGCGCTGGTGAGTGAAGGTCTGGGGCTTGGCATCCTCCGGGGGCCCAGACCAAATTTAACAGAAATCTTAATCTAGTCCCATGCCCTGTTCCTACATCAGTTCTAGGCCCTGCCCTCCACACGGGACTTGTTCCTAGGGCCACGCCCCCTTACCAGCCTTGATCCCAGCCCCTTTCCCTAGGCCCCGCCCCTTCGCCATAGACCCCGCCCCCCATACGGGGCTTGTGATCCTGGCCCCTGTCCACAGACCCCGCTGTCGCTCAATCCTAAGCCCCGCCCTTGCATCTGTCCTAGGTTCCACCTCTGCCCCATGCCCTATCTACAGCCCCAAACCCAGATCAGACCCTCTCCCTCCGCAGGACCCTGCGACCCCGGCGAGGTGGCGCTGCCGCACGTGGCACCCATGGTGCGCCTGCTGGAGGGCGAGGAAGTCGCGGGGCCGCTGGATGAGAGCTGCGAGCGGCTGCTGCGCACCCTGCACGGGGCGCGTCACATGGCCCGGGACGCACCCAAATTCCGCAAGGTGGCAGCCCAGCGCCTGCGAGGTGAGCGTTCCCTCTGCTCTGTACTGCAGACTTCAGATCCGGCAAGTTCTGGCCGTACCCCCAGACCCAACCTGTCCCAGGAAGGGAGCCTCCCGCCACGCCTCCCGGAGCCCCACCCAAACTGGGACGTCTCCACTCCAGGAAGGTTCTCACCCCAAGCAAACGCTGCTTCCAGCGGTATTGATAAGAACAGGGCCGTCTACCTCAAAGCGGGCTGTCCTGCCCCCAGAGCCACCTCCGCGGGTCCCCACTCCCCCTTCCCACCTAGAACGATCCCGCACCCCAGGGATCTCGATCTCGAGGAACGCCCTGCTCCCTCCAAACGATTCCTCCCTCCTATCCTAGGGCAGCCCAGCCGACAAGATCCCCCACCTTCCCCGACAACCTGGGATCCCGCCACCGGTGCAGCCCCACGTCCAGGCACAGCCCCTAAGGCGGGACCCCCAGGATCTGGCACCTGGAACAGGCCACCCCCTTGCACTCTAGTAGAGCCCCTCAGGCACCCCACCCCCATTCCTGCAGAGGGCTGGAAGCCCCCTCCCCTCTGACCCCGCCTAGTCATCCCGCAGGTGGGGCAAGTCCCTCCCGGGCTGCTGTTGGGTCAAAGTCCTCAGGGGAAAGGCAGGTGCGGGAGGTTGGGAGGGGCGAGGCGGGCGCCTGGGCCCCGCCCCCAGCCCACCTGACCTTGTTTCCAGGATTCCGGCCTAACCCAGAGCTGAGGGAGGCCCTGACCACCGGCTTCCTGCGGAGGCTGCTCTGGGGTAGCCGGGGCGCGGGAGCTCCGCGCGCTGAACGCTTTGAGAAGTTCCAGCGCGTCCTCGGCGTCCTGTCACAGCGCCTGGAGCCTGACAGCTGAGAGCGCAGACCCCTTTCTTCACACCCGGGACCCCCAGGTTTTTGAAGACCCCGGAAGAGACCAAAGGAGTCGTCCCAGGCTCCTCACGTCCTCAGGCGGAAACCTGCCCTGTGCCTCACAGCAGAGGTGGGGAGGGCAGTCAGGGTCATCGGGGCATAGTGAACATGTGACCTGCAGATCTGGCATCAGAGGCCAGAGTTCAAATGTGACTCCGCTTCTTAAAAGCTGTGATTTCTAGCAGATCACTTCACCTCTCTGTGTCTGCCTTTAACAAAATCATGGCTGTGCAGCAGCTCAGGCCTGTAATCTCAGCACTTGGGGAGGCCGAGGCGGAAGGAAGGCTTGAGGCCAGGAGTTCAAGACCAGCCAGGGCAACATGGTGAGACCTCATCTCTACAAAAACTGAAAAATAAAAAACTTTTACAAAATGTAAAAGTTGAGGCTGTGTGCTTTCTAAGAATTGTGGCTGGGAATGAGACCGCAGGTGGAGAATGCCTGGCACACAGTAGATCCTCAATAAGTGCTACCCATTCTCAGAAGCTGCACTGCATTCAGAAGGGATGAAACTTGGTGTCCCGGCCGGGCGCGGTAGCTCACACCCATAATCCCAGCACTTTGGGAGGCCAAGGTGGATGGATCACTTGAGGTCAGGAGTTCGAGACCAGCCTGGCCAACATGGCAAAACCCTGCCTCTACAGAAAATACAAAAAATTAGCTGGGCGTGATGGTGTGCACCTGTAATCCCAGCTACTTGGGAGGTTGAGGCAGAATTGCTTGAACCCGGGAGGTGGAGTCTGCAGTGAGCTGAGATTACGCCACTGCACTCCAGCCTGGGCAACTGCGTAAGGCTGTCTCAAAAAGAAAAAAGAAAAAGAAAAGGAAACTTGGTATCCTTCTCCCTACCTGAGTCACAAGCAGACACCCACTGACAATGATATAGGCCAACTTCCAGAAGGGGCAGGGTTGACCCAAGGTGTGCCCAAGATCACCTTCCCTTCCTTGTTCCCTGTGTGGCCTGTAAGAAACGTGGTGTTAGATCCTTCCAGTCCCAGTATCTAAATCCTCTAATAAGGCACCGACTCCAGGAACTTTATGTAATTTTCTTTTTTTTTTTTTTTTTTTTCCATTTTTATAAAACAAAATGGCCGGAGCCGAGCGGCAGGAAGAAAAGATGTAAAACATGAGTATGTACATCAATGGTGGAACGACGGTAGAAGGCACAGCGGGCCCGTCCGGAGTGACAGGTGGAATTGGGTTGGGGATGGAGGGGGCAGCAGGTTACACAGGTCTCAGCCGAAGCCACGGGGTCAGAAATAAAGTGCATAGGTCCTGGGGCCCCCCGTGGCCCAGAAGCAGCAGCCGACAGCCCCCCGTCTTCCCGCCTCTGGCAGGGTTCAATTGAGTGTGACTCGCAGGTAGGAGGTGGGCACGTAGCCCTCGCCTCCCTCTTTCCGCCTGACCCGGGTCCAGCCGTCCCCTTTGTCTTCTTCCATAAGACTGAGGTCTTCACCCTCGGCCATAGAGATGGTGCCCTCGCTGGACCCTGTGATGGGGGTGGGGGTGGGCCCAGATCTGCTTTAGGCAAATGTATTATTTTTATTTTTTATTTTTGAGACTGAGTCTCGTTCTGTCACCCAGGCTGGAGTGCAATGGCGCGATCTCAGCTCCCTGCAACCTCCGCTTCCTGGGTTCAAGGGATTCTCCTGCCTCAGCCTCCTGAGTAGTTGGGATCACAGGCGTGTGCCACCGCACCTGGCTAATTTTTGTATTTTTAGTAGAGATGGGGTTTCAACATGTTCGCCAGACTGGTCTGGAATGCTTGACCTCAAGTGATCTGCCTGCCTCAGCCTTCCAAACTGCTGGGATTACAAGCCTGAGCCACCCGCCCAGCCCTGCTTTAGGCAAATTTAAACTGAACCTAGCTAGAGACAGTGCCGCCCATCCCCGCCAAGCCCACTCTGGCCATTCTCACCTTCAAAGTGGTAGATGGCCACACAGTGACCTATGGGCGATGTGGGTTCCTCCTCGAAATCCTCATCAAACTCCGTGTAAATGGGGGTATCCTGGCTCTCTTCTGAGGGAGGCTCTTCAGAGCTGTTTGGGGAGAACTCGGCAGATAAAGACACGCCCCCCTGGGACTCTGGGAACAGACTCACTCTGGCGTCACCCCTCACCTCTCCTTGGTGTCCTGTGATCCGCTGTTGCTGCTGCTGTCTGGTGGGGCGCTAGCAGGGGGGTCGGGAGGCCGGGCGTGCCGGCTCAGGCTGTCTCCCCGGTTGCTAAGGACTCGACTTTCAGCTTCTGCCAGCCACGCCTGGGAGGAGGGGACGGCAAAATCGTTCCAGGGCAGAGCTCTGGGGTCAGCCCACTCTGGACTCAGAGGTTCCCTGACATCACCCACGCACAGCCAAGGCTGTGATGGAAAACAGTTGGAGACCCCCAGCTCCGAACACCTCCCCTCTCCCCGACCCCCCGACCCCACCCCTACCCCCACCCGGCAGTGACTCAGCCAGGCACGCTGGCTCCCGCCCCTCCCCAGGGTCTTTTCTGACCTCATACTTCTGCACGTCCAATTTCAGCCGTTCGATGTTGCTCAGGGTTTCAGCGATCTGGGGCTCCAAGCTGGCGGGGTCTCCCATCTGGGGTGTCTTCTCATAGACATCCTTCATTTTCTTTAGGGCTTCCCTATGACAAGGGAGAGAGGCAGACAGGAAAACATAGCTCCTTGTGAGCTTTTTTGTTGCTGTTTTGTTTTGTTTGAGTCAGGGTCTTGCTCTGACTCCTTCCCCAGGCTGGTGTGCAGTGGTGCCATCATGGCTCACTGCAACCTTGACCTCCCGGGCTCAAGGGATACTCCTGCCTCAGTCTCCTGAGTAACTGGGACTACAGGCCCACATCACCATACTCGCCTGATTTTTTTTTCAAAAATTTTTAGTAGAGATGGGGTCTGGCTATGTTGCCCAGGCTGGTCTCAAACTTCTGAGTTCAAGGGATCCTCCTGCCTCAGCCTCCCAAAGTGCTGTGATTAGAGGCATGAGTCACCAGGCTCCATGTGATTTAACAAGCAAAATACAGGAGTTTTGCATCAAGGAGCAAATAGCAAGGCATGACAATGGTTGAGGATGCAAATACTAGTGCCCGACTGCCTGGGTTCGAATCTCAGTTTGAGTATTTCCTAGTTGTGTGAGCTTGGCTTAAATCATTGAACCCCTGATGCTGTTTGCTTGTCTTGGAAATGGAGATAATGATCCAACTATCTCATGTGGGTCATTGTGAGGATTAATACAATGCCTGATACCTAGTAAGTCCTCACTATTACTCATATACATATTGAGTACCTACTGCATACAGGTACTATTCTAAGCATCAAAGATATAACACTGGGCTGGCCACGGTGGCTCACATCTGTAATTCCAGCATTATTTTGGGAGGCTGAAGTGGAAGGATCACTTGAGGCCAGGAGTTCAAGACCAGCCTGGGCAACAGTGTGAGACCTGTCTCTAGTAAAAAATTAAAACAATTAAAAAAAAATAAAAAATAAACGAGGGGAAGGAGGCGGTGGGGAAAAAATAAATAAATATAACACTAAACAAGACAGGATCTTAAGTCTGCATGCAATCTCTCAGGAAAACTTGAGAATTCGAATAAATCCATGTACACTGTTTAGAATAGTGCCTAGAATACAGTAAGTGACTAATAAATACTGTTATCATTATCATTAGTTTCTCATCCGTCTCCTCTATGTCTGTACATACAGGTAGTCGTGACTATAATAGACCTTTGGAAAAGACCAGATCTGAGCTCAACTTCCTTCCAGTTATTTTTTATCTTTTTCTGAGACACAGTCTCACTCTGTCGCCCAGGATGGAGTGCAGTGGCGCAATCTCGGCTCACTGCAACCTGCGCCTCCCAGGATCAAGTGACTCTTGTGCCTCAGCCTCCAGAGTAGCTGGGACTACAGGCGCACGCCACCATGCCTGGCTAATTTTTATATTTTTAGTAGAGACAGGATTTCCATACGTTGGCCAAGCTGGTCTCAAACTCCTGGCCTCAAGCCATCTGCCTGCCTTGGCCTCCCAAAGTGCTTGGATTACATGTGTAAGCCACTGCACCTGGCCAACTTCATTTCCAGTTCTAATACCTGACCCATTTTACAGATGAAGAAACTGAGGAATTAAAAGGTGAAACAAGCTGCCCAAGACCTCAGAGATGAAGCTGGAAATCAAGTTCAGTTTGTCGTGACTCTAGAACATGCACCCTTAATCCCTCCACCGTAGAAACCCAGGAACTAGAGAGTTCTGAATGGAACTTTACACCAATAAAAGCCATTCTGTCCAAGAGGTTACATGCAAATGGCAAAATGTAATTTGGCTGCCTGTTTGCAAGTGGCAAACGTCATTCCTATTATGTAACAGGACTGGGAAGAGGATTTTGTTGCTTGGAAAGAGTGAGTAAAGATTTTTTTTTTAATCTGGCAGATTTTTTTATTGTGAATATTTTAAGTGTTTGAGCTGTTAGATAACCATAGGCTGCTTTTTTTTTCTTTTAGCCAATTAATGTGGTGAGCTAGATGGATACATTTTTTGATATTGAACCATCTTTGCATTATTGGGATAAAACCCAACAAATGGTGGCTTTTTTCTTTTTTTTTTTTTTTTTTTTTTTAAATTTATTTGGGTTTTTCTTCTTCTTTTTTTTAAGAGATGGGGTTTTACTGTGTTGCCCAGGCTGGCCTTGAACTCCTAAGCTGAAGCGATCCTTCTACCAAGCCTCTCAAAGTGCTGGGCTTATAGGCATGAGCCACCACACTCGGCTAATGTATTATTACTATTATTACTTGAGGTGGAGACTCGCTGTATCACCCAGGCTGGAGTGCAGTGGCGCAATCTTAACTCACTGCAACCTCCACCTCCCAGGTTCAAGAAATTCTCCACCTCAGCCTCCCAAGTAGCTGGAATTACAGGTGCGTGCCACAATGCCCAGATAGTTTTTGTATTTTTTTTGTTTGTTTTTTTGAGACGGAGTCTCGCTCTGTCACCCAGGATGGAGCGCAGTGGCGCAATCTCGGCTCACTGCAAGCTCCACCTCCCTGGTTCATGCCATTCTCCTGCCTCAGCCTCCCGAGTAGCTGGGACTACAAGTGTTCGCCACCACACCTGGCTAATTTTTGTATTTTTAGTAGAGACAGGGTTTCACCATGTTAGCCAGGATGGTCTCGATCTAGTTTTTGTATTTTTAGTAGAGACAGGGTTTTACCATGTTGGTCAGGCTGGTCTCAAACTCCTGACCTCAAGTGATCTACCCGCCTTGGCCTCCCAAAGTGATGTATTATTTTTTAAACACTGGATTTGCTTGGCTAGGATTTTGCATCTATTATCATAAATAAGGTAAAACGAGCCCTCGATTTTATCTTCTTGAATTCCTGGCCATTGATT